TCTGTTGTGATTGGTCTACTCTGCTCTGATTGGTCAGATGGCCTAGTCTGTTGTGATTGGTCTACTCTGCTCTGATTGGTCAGATGGTCCAGTCTGTTGTGATTGGTCTACTCTACTCTGATTGGTCAGATGGTCCAGTCTGTTGTGATTGGTCTACTCTGCTCTGATTGGTCAGATGGCCCAGTCTGTTGTGATTGGTCTACTCTGCTCTGATTGGTCAGATGGTCCAGTCTGCTGTGATTGGTCTACTCTGCTCTGATTGGTCAGATGGCCTAGTCTGTTGTGATTGGTCTGCTCTGTTTGGTCAGATGGCTCAGTCTGTTGTGATTGGTCTACTCTGCTCTGATTGGTCAGATGGCCTAGTCTGTTGTGATTGGTCTACTCTGCTCTGATTGGTCAGATGGCCTAGTCTGTTGTGATTGGTCTACTCTGCTCTGATTGGTCAGATGGTCCAGTCTGCTGTGATTGGTCTACTCTGCTCTGATTGGTCAGATGGTCCAGTCTGTTGTGATTGGTCTACTCTGCTCTGATTGGTCAGATGGCCCAGTCTGTTGTGATTGGTCTACTCTGCTCTGATTGGTCAGATGGTCCAGTCTGCTGTGATTGGTCTACTCTGCTCTGATTGGTCAGATGGCCTAGTCTGTTGTGATTGGTCTGCTCTGATTGGTCAGATGGCTCAGTCTGTTGTGATTGGTCTACTCTGCTGTGATTGGTCTACTCTGCTCTGATTGGTCAGATGGTCCAGTCTGTTGTGATTGGTCTACTCTGCTCTGATTGGTCAGATGGTCCAGTCTGCTGTGATTGGTCTACTCTGCTCTGATTGGTCAGATGGCCTAGTCTGTTGTGATTGGTCTACTCTGCTCTGATTGGTCAGATGGTCCAGTCTGTTGTGATTGGTCTACTCTACTCTGATTGGTCAGATGGTCCAGTCTGTTGTGATTGGTCTACTCTGCTCTGATTGGTCAGATGGTCCAGTCTGTTGTGATTGGTCTACTCTGCTCTGATTGGTCAGATGGCCCAGTCTGTTGTGATTGGTCTACTCTGCTCTGATTGGTCAGATGGTCCAGTCTGCTGTGATTGGTCTACTCTGCTCTGATTGGTCAGATGGCCTAGTCTGTTGTGATTGGTCTGCTCTGATTGGTCAGATGGCTCAGTCTGTTGTGATTGGTCTACTCTGCTGTGATTGGTCTACTCTGCTCTGATTGGTCAGATGGTCCAGTCTGTTGTGATTGGTCTACTCTGCTCTGATTGGTCAGATGGACCAGTCTGTTGTGATTGGTCTACTCTGCTCTGATTGGTCAGATGGTCCAGTCTGTTGTGATTGGTCTACTCTACTCTGATTGGTCAGATGGTCCAGTCTGTTGTGATTGGTCTACTCTGCTCTGATTGGTCAGATGGCCCAGTCTGTTGTGATTGGTCTACTCTGCTCTGATTGGTCAGATGGTCCAGTCTGCTGTGATTGGTCTACTCTGCTCTGATTGGTCAGATGGCCTAGTCTGTTGTGATTGGTCTGCTCTGTTTGGTCAGATGGCTCAGTCTGTTGTGATTGGTCTACTCTGCTCTGATTGGTCAGATGGCCTAGTCTGTTGTGATTGGTCTACTCTGCTCTGATTGGTCAGATGGCCTAGTCTGTTGTGATTGGTCTACTCTGCTCTGATTGGTCAGATGGTCCAGTCTGCTGTGATTGGTCTACTCTGCTCTGATTGGTCAGATGGCCTAGTCTGTTGTGATTGGTCTGCTCTGATTGGTCAGATGGCTCAGTCTGTTGTGATTGGTCTACTCTGCTCTGATTGGTCAGATGGCCCAGTCTGTTGTGATTGGTCTACTCTGCTCTGATTGGTCAGATGGTCCAGTCTGCTGTGATTGGTCTACTCTGCTCTGATTGGTCAGATGACCCAGTCTGCTGTGATTGGTCTACTCTACTCAGTTGGCCAGATGGTCCAGTCTGTTGTGATTGGTCTACTCTGCTCTGATTGGTCAGATGGCCCAGTCTGTTGTGATTGGTCTACTCTACTCAGTTGGCCAGATAGTCCAGTCTGCTGTGATTGGTCTACTCTGCTCTGATTGGCCAGATGGTCCAGTCTGCTGTGATTGGTCTACTCTGCTCTGATTGGTCAGATGACCCAGTCTGCTGTGATTGGTCTACTCTACTCAGTTGGCCAGATGGTCCAGTCTGTTGTGATTGGTCTACTCTGCTCTGATTGGTCAGATGGCCAGTCTGTTGTGATTGGTCTACTCTGCTCTGATTGGTCAGATGGTCCAGTCTGTTGTGATTGGTCTACTCTGCTCTGATTGGTCAGATGGTCCAGTCTGTTGTGATTGGTCTACTCTGCTCTGATTGGTCAGATGACTCAGTCTGTTGTGATTGGTCTACTCTGCTCTGATTGGTCAGATGGTCCAGTCTGTTGTGATTGGTCTGCTCTGATTGGTCAGATGGCTCAGTCTGTTGTGATTGGTCTACTCTACTCAGTCGGCCAGATGGTCCAGTCTGTTGTGATTGGTCTACTCTACTCAGTTGGCCAGATGGTCCAGTCTGTTGTGATTGGTCTACTCTGCTCTGATTGGCCAGATGGTCCAGTCTGTTGTGATTGGTCTACTCTGCTCTGATTGGTCAGATGGTCCAGTCTGCTGTGATTGGTCTACTCTGCTCTGATTGGTCAGATGGTCCAGTCTGTTGTGATTGGTCTACTCTGCTCTGATTGGTCAGATGGTCCAGTCTGTTGTGATTGGTCTACTCTGCTCTGATTGGTCAGATGGTCCAGTCTGTTGTGATTGGTCTACTCTGCTCTGATTGGTCAGATGGTCCAGTCTGTTGTGATTGGTCTACTCTGCTCTGATTGGTCAGATGGCCCAGTCTGTTGTGATTGATCTACTCTACTCTGATTGGTCAGATGACCCAGTCTGTTGTGATTGGTCTACTCTACTCTGATTGGTCAGATGACCCAGTCTGTTGTGATTGGTCTACTCTGCTCTGATTGGTCAGATGGTCTACTCTGCTCTGATTGGTCTACTCTGCTCTGATTGGTCAGATGGCCTAGTCTGTTGTGATTGGTCTACTCTGCTCTGATTGGTCAGATGACTCGGTCTGTTGTGATTGGTCTACTCTGCTCTGATTGGTCAGATGACTCGGTCTGTTGTGATTGGTCTACTCTGCTCTGATTGGTCAGATGGTCGATTGGTCTACTCTGCTCTGATTGGTTAGATGGCCAACCAAACTCTTCCAGTCTCAGCTACAACTACAGTGGGGTGGGGCAAAGGAGATGCTGTTCAGACAATGAAGACCACAAGCTGGCAAATTATGCAAATTAGTTCTAAACCTACGCAGGTTCAGCAGGAAGTGAGACTGGAATTACTGACGACTCGTTTAAGGCAGTTCAGAATAGCTTCTTCATTTAGGAGACAAAAACTTATCTGAGACCTTTTACAATCACAAACTGCTTTATTACACACTGCATGAAAGGGACTATCTGAAAAAGCATAATATGGACACTTTAATAATTCAAATGCATATGATGTAACAAAAGGTGGCAGTTACCGTGGCAACAGTCTGTGTGTGGGCAAGGCCACTATGCGATGCTCTCTGCGTGTGTGTTCGTACAGCTCCTTCAGCGCGTGCGAGTGCAGCTGCGAGGACTTCCCTGTTACACACATCAACCACTCTATCAGTCAGTGCCAACAAGTTTATCACTGCCAAGCTGCAGTGTACTGTGTAGAAATTATGACATACGAAGTCTGAATTATGTTTTGTCATTTTGTATATTTATGTACGTCTTTTCAATAACTTTTTTCAATTCGAATTTTGTCAAATTCGACTTTAATATCATAATTAGGACATTTAACGTCAAGATTCCGACTTAAAACATTGTAATTTGACCTTTTTATGTCATAATTATGACTTTTTAAATCTGAGTTTTCAACTTAAATTTCAATGTAAATGTCGACTTAAATATCATTAGGACTTTTTAAGTCCTGATTAAATTTCGACTTAGTAAGTCATAATTTCACCTTTTTGTCATAAATACTACTTTTTTAATTCTGAATTTCAATTAAGTCAATATCGAACTTCATATCATAATCAGGACTTTTTAAGTCAAAACCTTTTCAAGTCATAATTTCACCTTTTAATGTCATAATTAGAACTTAGTATGTCAATTTCAAATATTTATTGCATAATTATTATGACTAAGTCACAATTTCACCTTTTTAAGTCATAATTATGAATGACTTAGTAGCATAATTGCAACTTTTTCATAATGTAAATATGTCATAATTTAGACTCTGATATAATCTGACTTTTTATGTCAATTTGGACTTTTTAATATCATAATTAGGAATTTTTGTGTTGAAAATTTGACTTAAAACGTCGTAATTTCACCTTTTTATTTTATAACTGACTTTTTAGTGTCTGAATTTCAAAGTATGTCAATATCGACATTAATATCATAATCAGGAATTATTTTTTTTATTTTTTTAAGAAGTAACAATTTTTACTTTTTATGTCACAATTTTGACTTTTAGAAGTCAATATCGGCTTTAATATCATCAGGACTTTTTAAGTCAAAACATTTTTTCTCACAACAGTAAGTTATAATTTCACCTTTTTGTCATAATTAGGACTTAGTATGTCAGTTTTGACTTTTAATGCCATAATTATGACTTTTTAAGTAAAAATTATATTACTAAAATCTTAATATCACCATTTTATGTCATAATTTAGACTTTTTGTCATTTGTCATTTACAAAATGCATAATATTATTTTTCTTAAGTGGCAGAAACGGTCTTTCTTCTGTATTGTATAAAGCGCTCCATAAATAAAGGTGATTGACATGATCTGACTGTTCCTCACCTGAGACGGACATTAAGACGTTCCCGATGGTGTAAACCCACACACACTTTCCCGGAAACAGCTGAGAGGGAGAGCGGGAATCAGAGAAGGATCAGAACGAGCTGTAAGCGTCATCAGGAATGACGGTGTGTGTGTGTGTGTGTGTGTGTGTGTGAGTCTCTCACCAGCTCCATGGTGGTCTCAGACCCGTTGAGGTTTAGTGTGAAGATGCCCTCATCGGCCCCAAAGATCAGGTGTTGATCTAAAGCAGAGAGCAGGAGCGTTACTGAGCGTTCCCGGGCCAGAACACACTCCAGAGGAAGATGCAGGACGCGTACCTTTAGTGACGGGATGCTCCCATGAGGTCGAGCAGTTCAGCTTTAGAGGACAGCCGTGGAAAACCTTCCTGAAGGCGATCTGCTCACCAACACACACACACACACACACACAATATAACACCATCATCCACACACACAATATAACACCATCACACACAATATAACACCATCATCCACACACACAATATAACACCATCATCCACACACACACAATATAACACCATCATCCACACACACAATATAACACCATCATCCACACACACAATATAACACCATCATCCACACACACAATATAACACCATCATCAACACACACAATATAACACCATCATCCACACACACAATATAACACCATCATCCACACACACAATATAACACCATCATCCACACACACAATATAACACCATCATCCACACACACACAATATAACACCATCATCCACACACACAATATAACACCATCATCCACACACACAATATAACACCATCATCCACACACACAATATAACACCATCATCCACACACACAATATAACACCATCATCCACACACACAATATAACACCATCATCAACACACACAATATAACACCATCATCCACACACACAATATAACACCATCATCCACACACACAATATAACACCATCATCCACACACACAATATAACACCATCATCCACACACACACAATATAACACCATCATCCACACACACAATATAACACCATCATCCACACACACAATATAACACCATCATCCACACACACAATATAACACCATCATCAACACACACACAATATAACACCATCATCCACACACACAATATAACACCATCATCAACACACACACAATATAACACTGTGACTTATATAATGCAACTGACATTAAGCATCAATCAATTATTATCAACGTGTTAATTTGACAACATTTCTGCATGTAATATTTTTTTCTCTCAAAAATGCAATTTAATATAACTTTTAAAATTATTTGTAATTTAATTAAAAAATTATTAAATTATTATAACATTCAGAAATATTGTAAAATAGTATTAATAATAATATTTGTCTTTCAATAATTTAATGTAGTTTAATTTAAACTTTTAAATTATACATGATTAAAAAATAATTTGACAATATTTCTGAATTTAATAATATTTTTTCTCTCAACAATTCAATATAATTAAATATTATAACATTCAGAAATAGTGGACAATATTTCTAAATTTAATAATATCGTTTCCTCTCAGCAATGCAATTTAATTCAAACTTTTAAATGATTTCTAACTAAATTTAAGTAATAATTAAATCATTATTTGACAATATTAATAATTAATTTCTAAATGTGATACTACTTTTTCTATGGTTTAATTAATTTTTTTTAATTATATATGATTTCAACATTTCATTAATTAATAATTTAATTATTTTAATATTCAGAAATATGTGTCAATATAATAATAATATTTTTCCCTCAACAATTCAATGTAATTAAAATGAAACTTTTAAATGAATATAACATTCAGAAATATTTGACAATATTTCTGAATTTAATAATATTTTTCTCTCTCAAAAATGCAATGTTATTGAATTTAAACCTTTAATTTAATTGAATAAATTATCATAACATTCAGAAATAGTTATATTTATATTTAAACTGAATATATAATTTAATTATTATAATATTCAAAAATATTTGACAATATTTCTGAATTTACTCTTATTATTTGTTCTCTCAACAATTCAATGGAATTAAATATACTTATAACTGTTAAATATATTAAATATAAACTTTTAACTGTTAATTGATAATATTTGTTCTCAGTTTTGCCCGGAGCAGTGTGTGGAACACGTACCGGTGGTTTCCTGATCACTGGACTCGCACACTGGACCGGATCCTGAACGAGAGCGAGAAACACACAGTCAGACGCTTCAACCACTTCCTGAGAGCGTGAAGCTCGAAACCGAGACTCTTGCAGATGCAGAGCAGGAGATCGAGAGATCGTCACACACTCTTACACAGGGAAATAACACCGTCTTGCAGGAGATTCAACACACATTTGGCCTCACACACACTTCCTAAACTCTTACAACACCTTCTGTAAAGCTGCTTTAAAACACTTGAGTGGAAAGTGTAACTGAATGAGGCGCACCTGTGGAGCTTGTCTTCTTCTGCGGTCTTTCTTAGGCGGCAGTTCAGGAGGAAGAAGCTCCAGTGGAGGATCAGTGTGAAAGCTGGAGAACGCAGACGGATCTACAGTACACACACACACATATATAAATATACATATATACACACACACACACACACACATATATAAATATATGTAATTAAACAAACACATAAACACATTTACACACATATATACACACACACAGAGACACAAACACACATAAATAATATACATATACATATATACACACACACACACATTTACACACACATATACACACCCACACACCCACATTTACACACACACACACACACACATGTTGTGTTTTCATGTTTTATGGGGACTTTCCATAGACATAATGATTTTTATACTGTACAGACTGTATATTCTATTCCCTTACACTAACCCTATCCCTAAACCTACCCATCACAGGAAACATTCTGCATTTTTACAATTTCAAACAACATCACTTAGTATGATTTATAAGCTGATTTCCTCATGGGGACCAAAAAATGTCCCCACACGAACAAGGATTTCGGATATTGCCATCCTTGTGGGGACATTTTGTCCCCATAACGTAGGGTTTACCAGGCCACACACACACACACACACACACACACACACACACACACACACACACACACACACACACACACACACACACACACACACACACACACACACACACACACACACATATAAATATAAATATACATACACACACACACACACACACACACACACAAATATACATATACATACATACACACACACACATACACACAGAGACACATATATAAATATACATATACACACACAAACACACACACACACACACATTTACACACATATATACACACATTCACACACACACACACACACACACACACACACACACACACACACACACACACACACACACACACACACACACACACACACACACACACACAAACACACACACACACACACACATAAATATACATATACATATACACACACACACAAATATACATATACACACACACACACACATTTACACACACACACACACACACACACATTTACACACACACACACACACACACACACACACACACACACACACACACACACACACACACACACACACACACACACACACACACACACACACACACACACACACACACACACACACACACACAGTGAGTTAAACAGGTGGATCAGGAGCAGTGTTGTGTGTAACTCATTACAAGTAACTTGAGTTATGTAATCAGATTACTTTTTCAAGTAACTAGTAAAGTAACGCATTACTTTTAAAATGTACAACAAAATATCAAAATATCTGAGTTACTTTTCCACACAAGCACCGCTAGTTACTTTGAGTTTCACATGTATTGACTGACAGCTCTCCTGTGCTCATGTTGAGACAACTCGAAGGGCAGAGGCGATGTGTGTGTGTGTGTGAGACACTCACCTGAGTTGACGTTGCGTACGGAGCGTGGGCGCGGGACGGGTCGAGTGTGTGTGTGTGTGTGTGTCCCGCTGGACGTCCTGAACAGTGGCGTCGGGACGCTGACGGCCAGAGCTTTACTGTGATCCTCGTCTGCGGTCACACTCTCCTCTGAACTCGTGCGGGGCTTCGGCTGCTCACACACACACACACACACACGATACACTTCATACACACATTCATATACATACACTTTCTTAAAGCTAAATATAACAGCAATTAGTCAACATTTTAGTCTTTTTATGAATTTATTTTCATATTTATGACAAATTATTTATTTCAACATTTTAGCTTTTTATGATTTTTTTTCATATTTATAATATATTTAACATTATATGCTTTTATGAATTTATTTTCATATTCATGATGAATTATAGATTTAACATTTTATCCTTTTTATGAATGTACTTTCATATTTATTTTATTTATTAGATAGTTCAACATTCTAGTCTTTTTATGTTTTTATTTTCATATTTGGGATGAATTATATATTTCAACTTTTTATGCCTTTTTATGAATGTATTTTCATATTTATGATTAATTATATATTTAACATTTTATACTTTTTTATGAATGTATTTTCATATATATGGTGAATTATATATTTCCACATTTTAGTCTTTTTATGAATTTATTTTCATATTCATGATGATTTATATATTTCAACATTTTAGCATTTTTATTAATGTATTTTTATATGTATTATATAAATTAGATAGTTCAACATTTTAGTATTTTTATTAATTTATTTTCATATTTATGATTAATTGTATACTTCAACATTTTTGTATTTTTATGAATTTATTTTCATCAGATTTATATATATATATATATATTTTACATACGTATATCTTTCCCTATATTTCCGTTTTACTATGTTTTGTTACTATATTGGTTATATTAGTGTTGATCATCAATAACAGGATTGCAAGCGTTGAGTGTTCCGCTGGAATGAAGCGTTCTGATCTTACTCTGGGAGGAAGAGGAGGAGGAGCTTCATCGCTGTACTTCAGTGTGCTACTAAACAGAGAAGACTCGTCAGATCATTCAGAGTTCATTAACAGACTGATGTGTGTGTGTGTGTGAGAGAGAGTGTGTGCTGAAGTACCTCAGTGAATGACTGACAGGTCTGTGGGTGGAGAAGAGGATTAAAGACGTGATTAATAACCACAGACACAATCACACACACACGACTCAACACAATCACACACACTCTCAACACAATCACACACACACTCAACACAATCACACATGCATGAGGAGGTCGCGTAGATTAGTGTTTAATTCCAGCTAAAATCATAATTAGTTCCCTGAAAAAAGCTCCTAATCTTTGTTGTTATTGTTCATTAAAACGTTTAGAAATCAATGAAAAATTATTTTTTGTTCATTGAAATAATATAGAGATTTGATTAAATGTAAAGCTTGCGTGTTCAGTAAACGTGTCGAAGAGAAGAATGACTTACATTTCCACGTCATCGTAATCGTCATCGGTGTCCACGCTCTCGTCTCTGTCGGAAAGAGTTCATTAGAACATGTGACACACACTGCACACACGTCATGTGACACACACTGCACACACGTCATGTGACACACTGCACACACGTCATGTGACACACACTGCACACACGTCATGTGACACACACTGCACACACGTCATGTGACAAACACTGCACACACGTCATGTGACACACACTGCACACACGTCATGTGACAAACACTGCACACACGTCATGTGACACACACTGCACACACGTCATGTGACACACACTGCACACACGTCATGTGACAAACACTGCACACACGTCATGTGACACACACTGCACACACGTCATGTGACACACACTGCACACACGTCATGTGACACACACTGCACACACGTCATGTGACACACACTGCACACTCGTCATGTGACACACACTGCACACACGTCATGTGACACACACTGCACACACGTCATGTGACACACACTGCACACACGTCATGTGACACACACTGCACACACGTCATGTGACAAACACTGCACACACGTCATGTGACAAACACTGCACACACGTCATGTGACACACACTGCACACACGTCATGTGACAAACACTGCACACACGTCATGTGACACACACTGCACACACGTCATGTGACACACACTGCACACACGTCATGTGACACACACTGCACACTCGTCATGTGACACACACTGCACACACGTCATGTGACACACACTGCACACTCGTCATGTGACACACACTGCACACACGTCATGTGACAAACACTGCACACACGTCATGTGACACACACTGCACACTTGTCATGTGACACACACTGCACACACGTCATGTGACACACACTGGACACACGTCATGTGACACACACTGCACACACGTCATGTGACACACACTGCACACACGTCATGTGACACACACTGCACACTCGTCATGTGACACACACTGCACACTCGTCATGTGACACACACTGCACACTCGTCATGTGACACACACTGCACACTCGTCATGTGACACACACTGCACACACGTCATGTGACACACACTGCACACACGTCAGGCTTGTTCGACTTCATGCAGCTCTGCGCAGACCGATCGGCGGCAGACTTGAAGCAGTGCATGCCGGTTAGAAATGTTGTCCGACTTGATACAGCGCCGACGCCACGTGACTGTGACGTATGCCATCAAAGTACCGCGAGAGCGATTCGAGAGTAGCCGGAGAACTCAGCCAGCGCAGCTTCTGAAGAGCGGCTGCTCTGAGTCTGGGCTGCACGAGCTCTGATGACGACACAGCTGTTCCACGATTGGCCGGATTCACCGCATGACAACGATCACGTGCGTTTCGTGTTTATTCTCACACCTTAGTTCCACTAAAGCTCACAAATCAGTTTTTTTAATTACAGTAAACACTCTTTTCATGTAGTCGCGATTTATTGTGTTATGTTTATCAAAATAAAACTGATTAAAAAACGTTGATTCCACTTCATTGATAGTAGGCCTAGCTGTAGGCTTATGTTGAACTTTATTCTTGTTCAAACAAACGCTGTATGAAGCAGTACATAAAGTATTGAATGAAAATGTCTCTGAAACATCTGTGTATTTGGCAAATATTGCATTTATTTCACTTTAGCTGTGGTAAAGTATGCAAACACCACGTGAGCGGTCACTACGGGAACCCGAAAGTGTCCGACTTCACGTCTCCGTTTGCAGCTCCTCCCCGCCTGCACGCGGCTACTCTCGCCGATCAGTTACATCCAGCCGCAGCCGATGTCGAACACACCTAATATGTGACACACACTGCACACACGTCATGTGACACACACTGCACACACGTCATGTGACACACACTGCACACTCGTCATGTGACACACACTGCACACACGTCATGTGACACACTGCACACACGTCATGTGACACACACTGCACACGTCATGTGACAAACACTGCACACACGTCATGTGACAAACACTGCACACACGTCATGTGACACACACTGCACACACGTCATGTGACACACACTGCACACACGTCATGTGACACACACTGCACACACGTCATGTGACACACACTGCACACACGTCATGTGACACACACTGCACACACGTCATGTGACAAACACTGCACACGTCATGTGACACACACTGCACACACGTCATGTGACACACACTGCACACACGTCATGTCACACACACTGCACACACGTCATGTGACAAACACTGCACACGTCATGTGACACACACTGCACACACGTCATGTGACACACACTGCACACGTCATGTGACAAACACTGCACACGTCATGTGACAAACACTGCACACGTCATGTGACAAACACTGCACACACGTCATGTGACACACACTGCACACACGTCATGTGACACACACTGCACACACGTCATGTGACAAACACTGCACACGTCATGTGACAAACACTGCACACGTCATGTGACACACACTGCACACACGTCATGTGACACACACTGCACACGTCATGTGACACACACTGCACACACGTCATGTGGCACACACTGCACACACGTCATGTGACACACACTGCACACACGTCATGTGACACACACTGCACACACGTCATGTGACAAACACTGCACACGTCATGTGACACACACTGCACACACGTCATGTGACACACACTGCACACGTCATGTGACAAACATTGCACACGTCATGTGACAAACACTGCACACGTCATGTGACACACACTGCACACACGTCATGTGACACACACTGCACAAACGTCATGTGACACACACTGCACACACGTCATGTGGCACACACGTCATGTGACACACACTGCACGCGTCATGTGACACACACTGCACACACGTCATGTGACACACTGCACACACGTCATGTGACACACACTGCACACGTCATGTGACACACACGTCATGTGACACACTGCACACACGTCATGTGGCACACACGTCATGTGACACACACTGCACACGTCATGTGACACACACTGCACACACGTCATGTGACACACACTGCACACTCGTCATGTGACACACACTGCACACTCGTCATGTGACACACACTGCACACACGTCATGTGACACACACTGCACACACGTCATGTGACACACACTGCACACACGTCATGTGACACACACTGCACACACGTCATGTGACACACACTGCACACTCGTCATGTGACAAACACTGCACACGTCATGTGACACACACTGCACACGTCATGTGACACACACTGCACACACGTCATGTGACACACACTGCACACACGTCATGTGACACACACTGCACACACGTCATGTGACACACACTGCACACACGTCATGTGACACACTGCACACACGTCATGTGACACACACTGCACACACGTCATGTGACACACACTGCACACTCGTCATGTGACAAACACTGCACACACGTCATGTGACACACACTGCACAATCGTCATGTGACACCGACTGCACTCGTCATGTGACACACACTGCACACTCGTCATGTGACACACACTGCACACTCGTCATGTGACACACACTGCACACACGTCATGTGACACACACTGCACACTCGTCATGTGACACACACTGCACACTCGTCATGTGACAAACACTGCACACTCGTCATGTGACACACACTGCACACACGTCATGTGACACACACTGCACACACGTCATGTGACAAACACTGCACACACGTCATGTGACACACACTGCACACTCGTCATGTGACAAACACTGCACACACGTCATGTGACACACACTGCACACTCGTCATGTGACACACACTGCACACACGTCATGTGACACACACTGCACACACGTCATGTGACAAACACTGCACACGTCATGTGACACACACTGCACACACGTCATGTGACACACACTGCACACACGTCATGTGACACACACTGCACACACGTCATGTGACACACACTGCACACTCGTCATGTGACACACACTGCACACACGTCATGTGACAAACACTGCACACACGTCATGTGACACACACTGCACACACGTCATGTGACACACACTGCACTCGTCATGTGACACACACTGCACACGTCATGTGACACACACTGCACACGTCATGTGACACACACTGCACACACGTCATGTGACACACACTGCACAGACGTCATGTGACACACACTGCACACACGTCATGTGACAAACACTGCACACACGTCATGTGACACACACTGCACACACGTCATGTGACACACACTGCACACACGTCATGTGACACACTGCACATACGTCATGTGACACACACTGCACACACGTCATGTGACACACACTGTTCATGTCTTGGACACACACTGTACACACGTAATGTGACACACTGCACACACGTACACACACACACACACACAGACAGACACACACACACACACACGTCATGTGACACACACTGCACACACACACACACACACACACACACACGTCATGCGACACACTGTACCTGAGTGAGCGTTTACTGAAAGACAGCGCAGGATTCGTCCACTGGCCTCCTGTCAGCCGTAACTACACACACATCACAGGAGTGAATTTAACTGTGCGTATCACACACACACACACATGCATGTAGAGGAGCTCAAAGAGTTTAAATATCTTCGAGAACATCTTGAAAGGAAGGTTTCGTTAGATTGAACACACACACACTAACCGTTGCTTCTGGAGACTCTCGTCTGTCGGCGACTGGCCTCTGTGTGTAAATCTGTTCCACTGGACACACAGAAACCATTTATAATGATGAACGAGTGAGTATCTGTCTCTCAATAATCTCACACACTCACACACACATACACACACACACACACACACGCACGCACACACACACACGTGTCTTACAGCTGATGTCTGAGTTCGTTCTCTCTGCTCGGTTGTGTCGGTTGATTGAATGAATTCTTCTGAGTGATTGTGGGACAATAACCTGAGCGAGAGAGAGAGAGAGAGAGAGAGAGAGGGATATGATGTCACCTCACTTACACATGATAAAACAGATGATTGCTTGTCTTTTATTTAACAGACATTTTTTATCCAAAAGTGTGAGAGTCTGGGTGTGTGTGTGTGTATGTGCGTATATGTGTGTGTGTGTGTGAGAGAGAGTGAGTCAGTGAGTGAGTGAGTGAGTGAGTGAGTGAGTGAGTGAGTGAGTGAGTGAGTGAGTGTGTGAGTGAGTGTGTGAGTGTGTGAGTGAGTGAGTGAGTGAGTCAGTGAGTGTGAGTGAGTGTGTGAGTGTGTGAGTGAGTGAGTGAGTGAGTCAGTGAGTGAGTGAGTGAGTGAGTGAGTGAGCGAGTGAGTGAGTGTGTGAGTGAGTGAGTGAGTCAGTGAGTGTGTGAGTGAGTGTGTGAGTGAGTGAGTCAGTGAGTGTGTGAGTGAGTGAGTGAGTGAGTGAGTGAGTGTGTGAGTGAGTGTGTGAGTGAGTGAGTGAGTCAGTGAGTGAGTGAGTGTGTGAGTGTGTGAGTGAGTGAGTGAGTGAGTCAGTGAGTGAGTGAGTGAGTGAGTGAGTCAGTGAGTGAGTGAGTGAGTGAGTGTGTGAGTGTGTGAGTGAGTCAGTGAGTGAGTCAGTGAGTGAGTGAGTCAGTGAGTGAGTGAGTGTGTGAGTGAGTGTGTGAGTGAGTGTGTGAGTGAGTGAGTCAGTGAGTGAGTGAGTGAGTGTGTGAGTGAGTGTGTGAGTATGTGAGTGAGTGAGTGAGTGAGTGTGTGAGTGTGTGAGTGAGTCAGTGAGTGAGTGAGTCAGTGAGTGAGTGAGTGTGTGAGTGAGTGAGTCAGTGAGTGAGTGAGTCAGTGAGTGAGTGAGTGAGTGAGTGAGTGAGTGTGTGAGTGTGTGTGTGAGTGTGTGAGTGTGAGTCAGTGAGTGAGTGAGTGTGTGAGTGAGTGAGTCAGTGAGTGAGTGAGTGAGTGAGTGAGTGAGTGAGTGAGTGAGTGAGTGAGTGAGTGAGTGAGTGAGTGAGTGAGTGAGTGAGTCAGTGAGTGAGTCAGTGAGTGAGTGAGTGAGTCAGTGAATGTGAGAGAGAGTGAGTGAGTGAGTGTGTGTGTGTGTGTGTGTGCGTGTGTGTGTGTGTGTGTGTGCATGTGTGTGTGCATGTGTGTGTGTGTGTGTACGTGTTTGTGTGTGTGAGATTGTACCTCTAAATCATCGTCATCTGTATTTAAACTGACTTTGAGTTTCTCAGGGTGTTTGAGTTTGTCCAGTAGATCGAGGGTTAATTCCTGTCTCAATGACGGCTGCGTCACAAACAAGTGCTGAAACATAGACATGACACGAGTTCAGCTACATGAACACACACACACACACACACACACACACACACACACACACACACACACACACACACACACACACACACACACACACACACTCATACACACTCACAGACTCACAGACTCACACACTCACACACTCACAGACTCACACACTCACACACTCACACACTCACACACTCAAACACTCAAACACTCACACACTCACACACTCACACACTCACACACTCACACACTCACACACACACACACTCACACACACACACACACACACACACACGTACTGTCAGCATCTTCTTGGCGCCGGGTCTCTTCTTCGGGTTCCTGATCAGCATGGACTTCACGAAGCTGTAGAACATGGTGGACCTGCAAGAAGATCAGCAGTGAGAGACTCGTTCACTGAGCGAGCGGCCTTTACCTTCACTGGCTCGGGCGAGCGAGCACTGGGGATGCGGTCTCTCACCATCGGGATTTGTCTTTGAGTTTGGGCGGCTGATAGCCACTCTTGGACATCAGGAACAGAACTCTGAGGAACCAGAGAACACATGAAGCACAGTGTTAGACTGCAATCTCCACCTGAGACACATTATAGATGTTTTACAGCAGCTTCACGGAAACAAACAGGAAAACTCGACAGAAGACTATAATATCACTATTCAGTTCAATAACTGTGTCAATGTTGCAGAGTTCATCAACTATGAGTGCATTCATTAGCCCGTGTGTGTGTGTGTGAGTGTGTGATTGTGTGAGAGAGTGTGTGTGTGTGTGAGTGTGTGTGTGTGTGAGTGTGTGTGTGTGTGTGTGTGTGTGTGTGTGTGAGAGAGGGAGTGAGTGTGTGTGTGTGTGTGCACGTGTGTGTGTGTGTGTGTGTGTGTGAGTGTGTGTGTGCGTGTGTGTGTGTGTGTGTGTGTGTGTGTGTGTGTGAGTGTGTGTGTGTGTGTGTGTGTGTGTGAGTGTGTGTGTGTGTGTGTGTGTGTGTGTTTCGTTCACCTAAGAGGATGGACATCAAACAGAGGAGGCTGTAGTTCTGCGAGCTCGATCGCTGTGATTCCCACAGACCAGATGTCACACAACTCATTATATCCACCCTTAATCTCCACAGCGGCCACTTCAGGAGCCATCCTGCAGGAAACACACACACACACACACACACACACACACACACACACACACACACACACACACACACACACACACACACACACACACACACACACACACACACACACACACACACACACACACGACTGATACGATGACACTTCTGGAGAAGAACTACTCACAATGTTTGTGAGCTTCGTCACACTGCAAGTGTGTTTATTCTCAGTATTTCTGTCTTGTTTTCCAGGACAAATATAAGTAAACAAGACTTAATATCGGAAGTCATTTTGCTACAGGATCTTGGCCTGAATAAAGTACGACTACAGTCAGAACTCAGTAATGAAAACAAACCAGAAAGAAAACAGATCTCACCAATACGGCGTCCCAATGAAAGACATTCGACGGGCAAAAGTAGCTGTGATTTGTGCAGAAATTCCAAAGTCCGCTAAACACAGCGAGAAAGAGGAGTTTATAACAAACAGACAGACGGACTCACTCACTCACACACTCACTCACACACTCACTCACTCACACACTCACACACTCACTCACACACTCACTCACTCACACACTCACACACACACTCACACCACCACACACTCACTCACACACTCACTCACACACTCACCACTCACACCACACCTCACTCACATCACACCACCACCACACACCCTCACACACACACTCACTCACACACTCACTCACTCACACACCACACACTCACACACTCACACACACACACACACCACCACTCACACACTCACTCACACACCACCACCACACACCACCACCACCCACACACCACACCACTCACACACCACCACTCACTCACTCACTCACCACACACACCACACACCACCACCACCACACACCACTCACTCACACACCACACTCACTCACCCACACACTCACCACTCACACACCACACACTCACCACACTCACTCACACTCACTCACACACACACACACTCACTCACTCACACACTCCCACTCACTCCCACCACCACCACTCACTCACTCACACACTCTCTCACACACTCACTCCACCACACCACCACTCACACACCACCCACACACTCACACCACCACACACCACACACTCACACACCACACCACACACTCACTCACACACCACACACACACACACACTCACCCCACCACCACTCACCACTCACCACACCACCCTCACACCACACACACTCACTCACCCACCACACACACACACACTCACATCACTCACCACACACCACACTCACACACTCACTCACACACTCACCACACACTCACACACACACTCACTCACACACACACTCACTCACCACTCACACCACACACTCACACCACACACTCACACACCACACACTCACTCACTCACACACCACTCACACACTCACTCACACACTCACCACACACTCACTCACACACTCACTCACCACCACTCACACACTCACACTCACACACCCACTCACTCACTCACTCACTCACTCACACACTCACTCACTCACTCACTCACTCACACACTCACACACTCACACACTCACTCACACACCACACACACTCACACACTCACACCACTCACACACATCACACACACTCACTCACTCACTCACTCACTCACTCACACACTCACACACACACACACTCACTCACTCACTCACTCACACACTCACTCACTCACTCACTCACTCACTCACTCACTCACTCACTCACTCACTCACTCACTCACACACTCACTCACACACTCACTCACACACTCACTCACTCACTCACTCACTCACACACTCACTCTCACACACTCACTCACACACTCACTCACTCACTCACTCACTCCTCACTCACTCACAACACTCACTCACTCACTCACTCACACACTCACTCACACACTCACTCACTCACACACTCACTCACACACTCACACACTCACTCACTCACTCACTCACTCACTCACACACTCACTCACTCACTCACACACTCACACACTCACTCACTCACACACTCACTCACATCACTCACTCACACACTCACTCACTCACTCACTCACTCACTCACTCACTCACTCACTCACTCACTCACTCACTCACACACTCACTCACTCACTCACTCACACACTCACTCACACACTCACTCACTCACACACTCACTCACACACTCACACACTCACTCACTCACTCACTCACTCACTCACTCACTCACTCACTCACTCACTCACTCACTCACTCACACACTCACACACTCACTCACTCACTCACTCACTCACTCACACACTCACACACTCACTCACTCACACACTCACTCACTCACTCACTCACTCACTCACTCACTCACACACTCACTCACTCACTCACTCACACACTCACTCACTCACACACTCACTCACTCACACTCACACACTCACTCACTCACTCACTCACTCACTCACTCACTCACTCACTCACACACTCACTCACTCACTCACTCACTCACTCACTCACTCACTCACTCACACACACACTCACTCACTCACACTCACTCACTCACACACTCACTCACTCACTCACTCACTCACTCACTCACTCACTCACTCACTCACTCACTCACTCACTCACTCACTCACACACACAACACTCACTCACTCACTCACTCACTCACTCACTCACTCACTCACTCACTCACTCACTCACTCACTCACTCACTCACTCACTCACTCACTCACTCACTCACTCACTCACTCACTCACTCACTCACTCACTCACTCACTCACTCACTCACTCACTCACACTCTCACACACTCACTCACTCACTCACTCACTCACTCACTCACTCACTCACTCACTCACTCACTCACTCACTCACTCACTCACTCACACACACACTGTGTGAAAGACACACAGAGGAGTGTTAAACAGACACACAGACGGAGCGACAGATTAAATGGTTTTACGAACCCAGTTTCACTTCTCCATGATCGTTCAGAAGAATATTTGCACCCTAAAACACAAACACACACACTCAGAGAACAGACTGAAGCTGTCAGAGGATGGAGAACGCTTCGGCTGTTACAGTTTTTCTGAATTGCTAAAACACATTTCTTGAACCCATCACTCGCGTTCTCAAAACCTTAAACACAAAACCACATTCACAGAACGGCAAAGTCAAACAATCGCCTCAAAACCATTTTATCTGCTCTAAATCACACAACGCTCTCAGATCACACACACACACACATACATGAGTCAATATTACAGTTTTTTACAATCACTTTGTTACTATTTTCAGAACCTTGATGTCATTTTTTCAAAACTCTAGACACAAAACTCACAGCGGTTATCACTTGTAACACAGGCTGTCTAATGTTCAAAACACTGCATTGTGCATTCACATCTTTAAAGAAATCTTGCACTTGCACAATCATTGTTTCAAAAAACAAATTTACTGTGAAATACCATTGAAACATAACTATAGATCACCCACACACAAGCAACCGATAGTTTCACTGTGTCATTGTTCGTACAATCATTAAATATTGTAGAGCAAAATAGGTGATCCAGGTTTCATTATGGTACTACATGTACAGTAAATACATCTCTGTAACAGCACTGCAGTAGTAGAGAGAATATTACAGACACAGTGGAATCATCAACAAAGTGTGTAATATATTGATGCAAAACACTACAATACAATCACAACACAGGTTTATTGGAATCAAAGCAAAAATATTAAATATTAGGCTACATCCATGGATATTGTAGTCTAATTGGTTCATGCCATGCTAATTGGTGACAATGAATCTCGTTATCTTGAAACTGTCATGATTTACTGTAAACATGGAAGATTGTGTGTGTGTGCATTAAGAGTAACGCAACAGTTACTTATCATTTTGAGCAGTTGTATCAGTTGATAGGTAGATCACTGTAAGGAAATGAATAGACACTCATTTGAAATGTAATGTGTGAATTGCCTTTTGAAATAGTAGTACTGTGATGTTAAGTTGTGTCATATTGAACAGGTGATCTTTGTTGAATGAACAAATGATCTAAGTTTTATGTGTATTGTATCCAAGCAATTGAGAAAAGGGTTAGAGTTTTGAAAAATGTGCTTTTTGATCATTGGTTGTGAGTTTTGTGTCTAGAGTTGTGAAGAATGACATCAAGGTTCTGAAAATAGTAACAAAGTGATTGTAAAAAACTGTATAAACACTACAGATCATTCATTACACACTACAGAGAAAATGGAGAACAATGAATCCAAAACACACAGTTACAGAAAATAAGTGTATTGTAACAAAGTAAACTAAATTTCCAATTACGTAAAAAGGTACAGTAATGACAACGTACAGCAGTAAGGGGAATAAATCATATCCTGTATATATAGTGTAAGCAAGTGTAGTATTGAACTGTGTATTCAGCACTGTGGACATACAGTGACCGACTGCAGAAGCCTAAAGGTTACAGTCACTCAGAGAGAGAGTGTGTTCGCTCTTCTTCCTCGTCTTCCTCCTCTTACACACACTCACTCTTCCTCCTCTTACGCACACTCTTCCTCCTCTTACACACACTCTTCCTCCTCTTACACACACTCTTCCTCCTCTTACACACACACTCTTCCTCCTCTTACACACACTCTTCCTCCTCTCACACACACTCTTCCTCCTCTCACACACACTCTTCCTCCTCACACACACTCTTCCTCCTCTTACACACACTCTTCCTCCTCTAACACGCACTCTTCCTCCTCTTACACGCACTCTTCCTCCTCTTACACGCACTCTTCCTCCTCTTACACGCACTCTTCCTCCTCTTACACGCACTCTTCCTCCTCTCACACACACTCTTCCTCCTCTCACACACACTCTTCCTCCTCACACACACTCTTCCTCCTCTAACACGCACTCTTCCTCCTCTTACACGCACTCTTCCTCCTCTTACACACACTCTTCCTCCTCTTACACACACTCTTCCTCCTCTTACACACACTCTTCCTCCTCTTACACACACTCTTCCTCCTCTTACACACCCTCTTCCTCCTCTTACACACACTCTTCCTCCTCTAACACACTCTCTTCCTCCTCTTACACACACTCTTCCTCCTCTTACACACACTCTTCCTCCTCTTACACACACTCTCCCTCCTCACACTAGAGGTCTTCTCGGGTCCTAAAAACTGTACCCGACCCGAATCACTACTTACCCGAACCCGACGTGCATAAATTATTTTTTTAAAAGAAAAACCCGACCCGAGACAGACCCGATAAAATTAGACCCGAGTCCGACCCGACCTGACGGCATTTCCTTTAGAACCCGACTGGACCCGAACGTAAACGGCATTTACATTGTGCACAGCCTGCAGCCCTGCGTTTCTCAAACATGCACTTAACATAGACGCGCGAGTGTAAGCGCGCTGAAGTGCTAAAATGTCAATCACACATCACTGTAACCCATTACGTCCAATAACATTTGGCATAATGTTATTTACCGGTCCATACGATGATTAGAACCACCATTCGTTTTCCCTGACATTTTTCGCAATTTCTGTTATCGCCTCCGCTCCATGCTTTTCTGACAGTGTCGCGAATTTTTAAAATTGATTGACAGGCCTGGCTAAACGACAATTCAAATACTTGCATTCAGTCAAACATCCATCCACATGATGGCGCACTAGTTCTTCTTGGCAAAGGGAGGGGTTGGTTTATGTGGAGCGAGCAACTGAGTAAATAAATGCGGAGGCAACCGTGCTTATGCTTATAGCCCATGTGCACGTAGATATGGAGGGATTATTGGGTCAGATTGAAAACTAAAAGTCTAAAACTAAAAGTCTTAAACGAAAACCAAAAGTCTAAGTTTGAAACTAAAAGTCTAAGTCGAAAACTAAAAGTCCAAGTCGAAAATGAATTTGGTATTTAGGATTGGGCATTTGGTATTTAGGATTGGGCATTTGGTATTTAGGATTGGGCATTTGGTATTTAGGATTGGGCATTTGGTCATTTAGCCATTTAGGATTTAGGATTGGGCATTTAATCATTTAGCCATTTAGGATTGGGCATTTAATCATTTAGCCATTTAGGATTTAGGATTGGGCATTTAGGGATTTAGGATTGGGCATTTAATCATTTAGCCATTTAGGATTGGGCATTTGAGGATTCAGGAGTGTATGCAAATAAGGAGGCGTGGCCCAAATACTGGAGGCTGGGTTTGAAATGGCTGGTGCAGATGCACCTTATGGACAGCAGAGGGCGCTCCAGTGCTAAGGAGCACACTGTAATGAAACCAAACAGAGCGAGTGAGCAGGTCTGGAGCGAGGACTGTACTTTATAATGTGATAACTTCAACTTAATGACAGCGTTGTATAGGGGTACTGGAACGGTACATGTATTCCTATTGAACCGAACCGGTAGCCTACGGGCGTCACGGTTCGGTGCACGAATTTACACGGAGAATACACGGTATAAAAATAAATAAAACTCTAAATAGCGATACATTTCGCTCTATTCGCGTTTAGTGTGAACGCAGAATAATAAACAGGCTGCGACGTCAAGGTTGCAATGTTGGAGTGTGTGCTGCAAAGTTCAAACTGCAAAGTGTGTATATTTGTGTACACTCGCAATAAAATACAACATTGTGCTTTTGTCACACTCTAAAATCTTGTCAAACTGTAACCTACAACTGTCACCCAACCAAAATCACACACACACACACACACTCTCTCTCTCTCTCTCTCTCTCACACACACACACACACACACACACACACACACACACCTAGTTCGTTCGCGCCCACGCCTCCCCCTCTCTCTCTCTCGCGCACACACACACTCCAGCATTGCAACCTTGACGTCGCAGCCTGTTTATTATGCTGCGTTCACACCAAACGCGAGTAGAGCGAAATGTATCGCTATTTAGAGTTTTATTTATTTTTATACCGTGTATTCTCCGTGTAAATTCGTGCACCGAACCGTGACGCCCGTACCGTTTCGGTTCAATAGGAATACATGTACCGTTCCAGTACCCCTATACAACGCTGTCATTAAGTTGAAGTTATCACATTATAAAGTACAGTCCTCGCTCCAGACCTGCTCACTCGCTCTGTTTGGTTTCATTACAGTGTGCTCCTTAGCACTGGAGCGCCCTCTGCTGTCCATAAGGTGCATCTGCACCAGCCATTTCAAACCCAGCCTCCAGTATTTGGGCCACGCCTCCTTATTTGCATACACTCCTGAATCCTCAAATGCCCAATCCTAAATGGCTAAATGATTAAATGCCCAATCCTAAATCCCTAAATGCCCAATCCTAAATCCTAAATGGCTAAATGACCAAATGCCCAATCCTAAATACCAAATGCCCAATCCTAAATACCAAATTCATTTTTGACTTAAACGAAAACCAAAAGTCTAAGTCGAAAACTAAAAGTCTAAGTCTAAAACTAAAAGTCTTAAACGAAAACCAAAAGTCTAAGTCGAAAACTAAAAGTCTAAGACTTTTAGTTTTAGACTTTTAGTTTTCAATCTGACCCAATAATCCCTCCATACGTAGAAGCGCGGATTCGCTCTCTCACTTAGAAAAAGTGAGAGAACGGTGTCATAGAGTTGTTTTAAATACTGCAATTTTCTTAAATGCCCAACATAGTTTAAAAGAATTCGGGTCTTCTCGGGTCCATTTGGAAAAGGCATATTTATTTTAAATTACCCGAGACCCGAGGCCACTAATACCGAACCCGACCCGTGTCCGAGACACTCGTCGGAGTTTTGGACCTGAACCCGCTCGGGTCTCGGGTCGGACCTCGGGTTTTCGGATCCAAGTGGACCGTGAAGACCTCTACCTCACACTCTTCCTCCTCTTACACACACTCTTCCTCCTCTAACACACACTCTTCCTCCTCTAACACACACTCTTCCTCCTCTTACACACACACTCCCCCTTACACACACCCCCCACAACACACACTCCCCCTTACACACACCCCCCCACACACACACCTCCCCCCTCTACACACACTCCCCTCCACACACACCCCCCACACACACCTCCCCCCAACACACACCCCCCACAACACACACCCCCCCTACACACACCCCCCCACAACACACACCTCCCCCTACACACACCTCCTCCTCTTACACACACTCTTCCTCCTCTTACACACACCTTCCCCCACACACACCCCCCAACACACACCCCCCCCCAACACACACCCCCCCACACACACACTCTTCCTCCTCTTACACACACTCTCCTCCACAACACACACACCTCCTCCTCTACACACACTCCACACCTCTTACACACACCTCCCCCTCTAACACACACTCTCCTCCTCTCACACACACTCCACCCACACACACACTCTCCTCCACTTACACACACTCTTCCTCCTCTAACACACACTCTTCCTCCTCTAACACACACTCTTCCTCCTCTAACACACACTCTTCCTCCTCTTACACACACTCTTCCTCCTCTTACACACACACTCTTCCTCCTCTTACACACACTCTTCCTCCTCTTACACACACTCTTCCTCCTCACACACACACACTCTTCCTCCTCTTACACACACTCTTCCTCCTCTCACACACACTCTTCCTCCTCTTACACACACTCTTCCTCCTCTAACACACACTCTTCCTCCTCTTACACACACTCTTCCTCCTCTAACACACACTCTTCCTCCTCTAACACACACTCTTCCTCCTCTAACACACACTCTTCCTCCTCTTACACACACTCTTCCTCCTCTTACACACACACTCTTCCTCCTCTTACACACACTCTTCCTCCTCTTACACACACACTCTTCCTCCTCTTACACACACTCTTCCTCCTCTAACACACACTCTTCCTCCTCTTACACACACTCTTCCTCCTCTTACACACACTCTTCCTCCTCTAACACACACTCTTCCTCCTCTAACACACACTCTTCCTCCTCTTACACACACTCTTCCTCCTCTTACACACACACTCTTCCTCCTCTTACACACACTCTTCCTCCTCTTACACACACACTCTTCCTCCTCTTACACACACTCTTCCTCCTCTAACACACACTCTTCCTCCTCTTACACACACTCTTCCTCCTCTTACACACACTCTTCCTCCTCTCACACACACACTCTTCCTCCTCTTACACACACTCTCCCTCCTCACACTCTTCCTCCTCTTACACACACTCTCCCTCCTCACACTCTTCCTCCTCTTACACACACTCTTCCTCTTACACACTCTCTTCCTCCTCTAACACACACTCTTCCTCCTCTTACACACACTCTTCCTCTTACACACTCTCTTCCTCCTCTTACACACACTCTTCCTCCTCTAACACACACTCTTCCTCCTCTTACACACACTCTTCCTCCTCTTACACACTCTCTTCCTCCTCTAACACACACACTCTTCCTCCTCTTACACACACTCTCCCTCCTCACACTCTTCCTCCTCTTACACACACTCTCCCTCCTCACACTCTTCCTCCTCTTACACACACTCTTCCTCTTACACACTCTCTTCCTCCTCTAACACACACTCTTCCTCCTCTTACACACACTCTTCCTCTTACACACTCTCTTCCTCCTCTTACACACACTCTTCCTCTTACACACACTCTTCCTCCTCTAACACACACACTCTTCCTCCTCTTACACACACTCTTCCTCTTACACTCTCTCTTCCTCCTCTAACACACACTCTTCCTCCTCTTACACACACTCTTCCTCCTCTTACACACACTCTTCCTCCTCTTACACACACTCTTCCTCCTCTTACACACACACTCTTCCTCCTCTTACACACACTCTTCCTCCTCTAACACACACTCTTCCTCCTCTTACACACACTCTTCCTCCTCTTACACACACACTCTTCCTCCTCTTACACACACTCTTCCTCCTCTAACACACACTCTTCCTCCTCTTACACACACTCTTCCTCCTCTCACACACACTCTTCCTCCTCTCACACACACTCTTCCTCTTACACACACTCTTCCTCCTCTTACACACACTCTTCCTCCTCTTACACACACTCTTCCTCCTCTTACACACACTCTTCCTCCTCTTACACACACTCTTCCTCCTCTCACACACACTCTTCCTCCTCTCACACACACTCTTCCTTCTCTTACACACACTCTTCCTCCTCTTACACACACTCTTCCTCCTCTTACACACACTCTTCCTCCTCTTACACACACACACACTCTTCCGTCTCTCCCTCTTATATTGTTTCCATCCACTGTTGGCATCAACATTCAGTGCAACATTGTGAGTAAATGTTGGGACTCTGAACTGACTTGTATATGTACAGTTGGTTTGATCTCATCATCAGAAATAAGTGTGAACAAGTTTGAGCCGTTGTGTGTAAACGATGACAAGAGTGTTGTAGTTGTGTTTAACTTTTGCCTGTGTGTGTTTAGTGTTGTGAAACACCAGTGCATCACAGTGCGAAATGTGTGTGAGTGAGAATGTGTTTAGAGTTTTGCAAAAAGAGCGCATGAGATTTGCAAACAGTGTTTTGACTACCTGAACATGTTTAATGTTTTAAAGAAAGAGTGATTTATTCGACAAATTGGTTTAGAGAATGGGGTTTGGTGTTTTAGCAACTCAGAAAAACTGTCAAGTGTGTGAAGGGAGTGTACCTTGATGTCTCTGTGGATCTTTTTCTGTCCATGAAGATAATCAAGACCCTGACAGAGAGATAGAGAGCAGACGTGAATTCCCTCTTAAAATAATTGTGTCCGGGTATAATTATGTGATTTAAACTGAGTATTTTAAAAGCGTTTCACCTGTAGCATCTCTCGACACACGTAAGCGATCTGAGGCTCTGAGAGCGGACCGGTCACTGACAGAGAGAGAGAGAGAGAGAGAGAGAGAGAGAGAGAGAGAGAGAGAGAGAGAGAGAGAGAGAGAGAGAGAGAGAGAGAGAGAGAGAGAGAGAGAGAGAGAGAGAGAGAGATATGATAAACACACATAGTGAAGAAGAAACTAAAAATATTTAGCTTCAAAATATCACACTCACTCACTCACTCACTCACTCACTCACTCACTCACTCACTCACTCACTCACTCACTCACTCACTCACTCACTCACTCACTCACTCACTCACTCACTCACTCACTCACTCACTCACTCACTCACTCACTCACTCACTCACTCACTCACTCACTCACTCACTCACTCACTCACTCACTCACTCACTCACTCACTCACTCACTCACTCACTCACTCACTCACTCACTCACTCACTCACTCACTCACTCACTCACTCACTCACTCACACACACACACACACACACACACACACACACACACACACACACACACACACACACACACACACACACACACACACACACACACACACACACACACACACACACACACACACACACACACACACACACACACACACACACACACACACACACACACTGTCTCTCTCTCTCACATACTCTCTCTCTCTCTCTCTCACACACACACACACACACGATGATGTGGTAAAAGATATCATTACACTCATCACACAAACACTGTGTTGTTCAGTGCTGTTTTTAGAGAGTGACCCAAAGGCTTTGAAAGATAGAAGATATTTTGATGACATTTAAAACAGGAAACCAAGTCATTTGTGTGTGTGTGTGTGTGTGTGTGTGTGTGTGTGAGAGAGAGAGAGACGTCAGATCCTCTTTACCGTGGTAAATGTCCTGCAGAGATCCTCCGCCACAATACTCCATACAGATCCACAGTTTATTCATCCTACAACACAGTTTATCATTTACACTCGTGTTTACATCCATCCGTCCGTCGTCTTCATTTAAAGGGTTTTTTAAGGTTAATTTAAAAGTAAATAAATACTTAATACTACCCAGCTGACAGGAAACGTTCTGGCAAGGTTCTCTCAAAAGATATGAACATGATATGAAGTTATCTGGCCTTTACAGTGTTTTACAATCGCTAGGACACATATCTCAATACTTATGTACATTTTTCAAAAAATTTCTCACAGTTCTCCTAACCGACTATCAACTTGCCACATCAGTTAATTTCACATTTAAAATGCACTAAAACGACCAAAACACGTCATTCATGTCTCAAATCAACTCAGCAAACTCCACAGTTTAGCTCACATAGACTGAACAAGTGAGTTAAGTATTGAGAAATTGGTCCTAGTGACTGTAAAAACTGTAATAATGTTCTCAAAACTTTGGCACAGAAATATTTATGATTGTCAAAATGAAATATTACTAAGGACAATTGATAAGACAATAGTTAAGAGAACTTTAGCATCGGAGTGCATCATAGGTACATCGCACGTGTAGTTATAGTAACTCGCCACCAGGGTGGTTCTCTGAGGACTAGTTGTTCCCGGAGGACTAATGGTTCCCCCGAAGACTAGTGGTTCCCCGAGGACGACTAGTGGTTCCCCGAGGACTAATGGTTCCCCCGAGGACTAGTGGTTCCCCGAGGACTAGTAGTTCCCCGAGAACTAGTGGTTCCCCCGAGGACTAGTTGTTCCCGGAGGACTAATGGTTCCCCCGAAGACTAGTGGTTCCCCGAGGACGACTAGTGGTTCCCCGAGGACTAATGGTTCCCCCGAGGACTAGTGGTTCCCCGAGGACTAGTAGTTCCCCGAGGACTAGTGGTTCCCCGAGGACTAGTGGTTCCCCCGAGGACTAATGGTTCCCCCGAGGACTAGTGGTTCCCCGAGGACTAGTGGTTCCCCGAGGACGACTAGTGGTTCCCCGAGGACTAATGGTTCCCCCGAGGACTAGTGGTTCCCCGAGGACTAGTAGTTCCCCGAGAACTAGTGGTTCCCCCGAGGACTAATGGTTCCCCCGAGGACTAGCGGTTCCCCCGAGGACTAATGGTTCCCCCGAGGACTAGTGGTTCCCCGATGACTAGTGGTTACCCCGAGGACTAATGGTTCCCCCGAGGACTAGTGGTTCCCCGAGGACTAGTGGTTCCCCGAGGACGACTAGTGGTTCCCCGAGGACTAATGGTTCCCCCGAGGACTAGTGGTTCCCCGAGGACTAGTAGTTCCCCGAGAACTAGTGGTTCCCCCGAGGACTAATGGTTCCCCCGAGGACTAGCGGTTCCCCGAGGACTAGTGGTTCCCCGAGGACTAGTGGTTCCCCGAGGACTAGTTGTTCCCGGAGGACTAATGGTTCCCCCGAGGACTAGTGGTTCCCCGAGGACTAGCGGTTCCCCGAGGACTAGCGGTTCCCCGAGGACTAGTTGTTCCCGGAGGAGTAATGGTTCCCCCGAGGACTAGTGGTTCCCCGAGGACTAGTGGTTCCCCGAGGACTAGCGGTTCCCCGAGGACTAGTGGTTCCTCGAGGACTATTGTTCCCGGAGGAGTAATGGTTCCCCCGAGGACTAGTGGTTCCCCGAGGACTAGTGGTTCCCCGAGGACTAGCGGTTCCCCGAGGACTAGTGGTTCCTCGAGGACTAATGGTTCCCCCGAGGACTAGTGGTTCCCCGAGAACTAGTTGTTCCCTGAGAACTAGTTGTTCCCTGAGGACTAGTGGTTCCCCGAGGACTAGTTGTTTCCTGAGGACTAGTTGTTCCCTGAGGACTAGTGGTTCCTCGAGGACTAGTTGTTCCCCGAGGACTAGTGGTTCCCCGAGGACTAGTGGTTCCCGAGGACTAATGGTTCCCCGAGGACTAATGGTTACCCGAGGACTAGTGGTTCCCCGAGGACTAGTGGTTCCCGAGGACTAATGGTTCCCCGAGGACTAATGGTTACCCGAGGACTAATGGTTCCCTTGGGATCGTTTCCCTGGTTGCGTTCGAGCGCCAGTATGAACTCTGAAGTGACGAAAGACAAGCTTGTTGTTGTGACTTTTATTTTGACGGCGCTATTCATTAGTTCATTAGTTTGCGATCTGTCTAACAGTCCTGTGTAATACATAGAACTGTTATACATAGAAAGTAGACAGTAATGAAGAGTTATGAGCGTATGCCGTGTGGTTGATGTCCAGTTTCGCTATCTGAGCAGAAATACATAATCATGTTTCTCTCTGTCCCTCAAAGTTGGGTTGGAGTTTCTCCTTAGTGTAAAGGTTAAGAGCTTCATCTATCTCTGTTTTACATGTTCGTAGAGTTAGTTTTTAGAGTAAATATATAGGCTATAATCTGTGTGTTTACACAGCTTTTTAAAAATGGCGGGTGCTGGTGTTTCGCGTGCGTTCGGCCAATCAGCGAACACTAACGTCACTGGTAGTTCCTATAGCGCTGGTTTAGACCGACTCTGAAGTAGGAATAAATTAACACGCCAAAATCTGGGAACTTCCGCAAATAGTTCTAGGAACTATGAGAAGGTTCCTCCGGTGCGAAAGCCTCTTATGTTGCCTTTCCCCAACGAGTCCTTGTTTCCAGTGTCAACCTCTGAGCGTCTCTCACCTGATGTAACTGCCGTGATATGCCACGATGTTGCCGTGTTTACAGCTCTTCACCATCACAATCTCTTGCTGGATAACTGAGAAATCGTCCTCTGTTGAACACACACACACAGTGTTAGACATGATTTAAAGCAGTGTTCTCAAACTCAGCTCCTGGAGGGACAAACGCTCCAACTCACACGTTTCTAGTAATCCTGAACACCTTGATTAACTGGATCATATGTGTTTAATTCAAGTTGGAGCTCTACAGGGCTGTGGCCCTTCAGGAACTGAGTTTGAGGATTTCAGTATATAAGTGTGTGATACTGGACGGTTTAGTGGTCAGTGCTGGACGCAGATCTTACCAGGCTCCATTTTGATGATTTTAATGGCTGCCAATTCCCCATTCTGTTTATTACGTGCCTGAAAATACACACATACACACATTGAGTTTTCATTTTAGGTTGACTTTCCATAGACATGATTATTAACTTATCCCCTTTGACTAACCCTTCCCCTAAACCTACCCAACACACACACACACACATACTTTGATTGTTTCAAAGCAGCTTTACATAATAGGAAATTACAGTCACATGCGCAGAAGTCTGTTGTTATGAACCCAGTGTGGGTTATATTTGTGGTTTGGTAGTTTTTTCTCTGTTTGTTTTGGGTGCTTCACATCATTATGACTGAGGAGTTAGCCAACATAGCCATGTATAAACTGGTGGGTTTTGCATCATGACCTCAGCCCTAGCAGGCAGAAAACCATCAGACATCCAATTTATAGAGAACTGAGAGATCTGGGTCCGCTAACTGTTCTTCTCTAAGACTTTTGAGGTCTGTCGGTGGCAACCAGTTTACAGAAGGGCTACGGTTGTCTCTCCTGCATTGATCTGGCTGAGAGTGCTAGTGAGTTTGCCTTCTTCATCTTGGCCACCTAGAGAATGTGTGCGCCTTACAGCCAGGGGAATAATGTTATCTACAGTGGTGGGCAAAATGATTAAATCACTTGGGTTGGCATATTTAAGAGGTTTCAGTTATTTTCCAAGACAATGACCCTTAACATTGAAAATGATGGACTGGCCCCGTCAAAGTCTGGACCTCAACCCCTTCGAGAACATTTGGGGCGAGATAGCGCCATTAACATTAGCGTTGAAGTTCTCAGGAAATATTTAGACACTACATCAGAGACATGTGCTGCTGTAATTACTGCAAAAGGTGGACATACCAAATATTAAAGTTAAAAGTGGATAAAAACAGTACGACTCACTTCATCTGATGAAATTAAATGGCAAAAAAGTCAACATTTTCAGATATGTCGGTTGTCTAATAATTTTGGCCACCACTGTACAGTATATCCTCCTCAAATCTGACCCAGTCTCTGGCAGAAGGAACAGCCTCTTAAAAGTAAGCTATAGCTTTCTTCCAGCTTGACAACAGTCACAAACTTCCTTTAAGTACAAATGGGAGTTGACTGGATATGATAGCTCAACAAACATGGGTTTATCCCGAGTATGACAGAGGGGTTCTGCTCTTCATATACTGGGGTGTGTTTCCCAAAACCACCGTTACAACGAACATTCGCACACAGCATCGCAGAGTTGTGTGTTGGAGCGACAGATCTCGACCTGTGGTTAGAAGCAGAGTTTCACAATTGCATGACATGTGGACTTATAAATCCTTATCTTGAGCAAATTAAGCAATTCAGTGCAATCTGTGTCTTTAATTTAGAATACATACAAATGTCATTTACGTCTTTGAGTTTGTCAAGAGATTTAAAGCACAGTTTTTGAAGAGTGCGCATGTGCAAACGTGCTCTACTATGTAAGATTGAATCTGGAAATAAAGCGAAATAACTGAGAAAAATTAGAAATAGTCCTCAGATGCATGTCTGTAATTTATATCAAAACATCTTGCATTAATTCGATCTCAAACAGTTTCATTAAAATAAGTTATTACTCCAACACTTTGCGACAATATGTGACTAGCAAGTAACAAGCACTCTGGGAACAGCCTATTTGTTCAGAAATTTCTTTCTGTGTCTTACCCTCTTGCTTGAGGGTGTCAATGATGGCCTTCTGGACAGCAGTCAGGTCGGCAGTCTTACCCATGATTGCGGTTTTGAGTAATGAAACAGGCTGGGAGTTTTTAAAAGCCTCAGGAATCTTTTGCAGGTGTTTAGAGTTAATTAGTTGATTCAGATGATTAGGTTAATAGCTCGTTTAGAGACCCTTTTCATGATATGCTAATTTTTTGAGACAGGAATTTGGGGTTTTCATGAGCTGTATGCCAAAATCATCAGTATTAAAACAATAAAAGACCTGAAATATTTCAGTTGGTGTGCAATGAATCTAAAATATATGAAAGTTTAATTTTTATCATTACATTATGGAAAATAATGAACTTTATCACAATATGCTAATTCTTTGAGAAGGACCTGTATAGCAGTGAAGCAGCGAGTTACGGCATTGTACGGGAAACGCACCCCAGATTAGTGCTCAACAAATATGGGTTTATCAATTTTATCAGTTTAAACTTTAATAGTTTATGTACGTGAGATTTTCAGAAACAAAAATGCCTGGGAATAGATTGTAAAAGGTACCAAAACAAATCCCACAGTCCACAACTTCTGCATTATCACACAAAATATGAACACAAGAACATGAAATTGAAAAAAAAAAAGAAGTGAAAGTGACATGGTAACTCAGACTCGGAATTTGTCCTTTGCATTTAACCCATCCACACATTAGGAGTAGTGAACACACACACACACACACTGGAGCGATTGGGTGCCTTGCTCAAGGGAACCTCAGTCATTTCCAACCGGTATTGAAAATCGAACCCGCAACCTTCCGAGTCTCTAACCATTAGGCCACGTCTGCTGGAATGTTTATATGTAGTGTGTATTAATACACACGCTGGAGGAAAGAACAGACCGTTGCCTTGAGTGGAAAGTACACACACAAACACTCCT